TATATTTTATTTACATAATAAAAGATCAAAAAATATTTATTTTACTATATGTATTGCACATAATATAACGAAAAAATATATCTATATTATATAATAATCTAGTGTAATAATTTATTAAATTAATTGTTCAAAGGAATAGATCGGATTCCCTCTTCGATATATCGTATCGTATGTGAATAAAAAAGAAAGGAAAGAATAGGGGAGGGGGGGGGAGAATCAAAAAAAGGAAACAATATATTAATCTAAACATTTCATTTGGCGACGAATTTATTTTTCAAGTCATTTTTGACGATGACGAATTATTTAAAATAAAAAGATTAAAATTATACCATGCCTCTGAAGAAGATTGGAACATACTCAATTTCATATTCCAGAATTTGTCAAAGAAAAAGTTAATATTCAGGATTACCTATATAATATAGAACTCATTTTCAAGGTAAAAAATATTTTCGATGAAAATAAAAAAAAGGATCTTTTATTGGCCTATATAGGCACCGAAAATTTAATTAAAATTAAAAATTTTTATTTTACAAATATTTTAAATAATATAAATTATTTAACTTTAATAGAGAATCTTGAAAAAATTTTCAAGTCTCTAGCATTTTTCTTCATAGGAATAATTTTTTTACATTAAAAAGAAATAACGAAAGTATAATTGACTTTTCAATTAAATTAAAAAGCATTTGCGCTTTATGTAACTTTAAATCGCCGGTTGATGAACTCTTAAGGGATATTTTCATCTTAGGAGTAGGGTTACCCGAGCTTGACAAAGAACTTCGGTCAAAATATGCCGAAGGAAATATTACTTTTGAAGATACTGTGCGTCTAGCTATCGCGCTGTCTTCATTGGAGAAGGAAACCCTGACAGAAGTTAATAAAATAATTAAACATAAGCCTATGCAAGTTTCCAAAAATACTTATCCTAGGAATAATTATAACAACGTAAACAAATTCAATAATAATAATTATAATGCTAACAAATTCAACAATAATTTTTATAAACCAAGTTTTAAACCTAATTTCAGTCAAAAAAAAGTAATATGCTTTAGATGCGGAAAAGCAAACCACATAGCGAAAGAATGTAGAACGCATGCTATACAAATGATTTTACCACGGACACCTCGCCTGTCTTTTGCTAATAAAGCTACAATCGATGCGAAGATAAATGGACTGCAGCTTACTGGCTGTGAAATTGAAATTAATGAAATTAAGTAATAGGCTAGTAATAGCCTCAATTATTGTTATAGGGTTTGGGATATATAGAACGATACTGATTTTTCAAAACGCCAAAAAAATTCTCAAGGGGATTAATTGAGGGGAATAGGATGGAAGATATACTATATTTTGATAGTTTTCTGTTATTATAAGAGCTCGGTAAATCGGCGCATTATCCATTATTATTAGAGAATTCAACGGTAAAATGTATGATAATTCATCCAGGTAAGTTTTGAATTTTATTGATGTAAATCCCCCGTCTATAATCATGTATTTTTTGAAACCATTAATTCCTATGGTGCATAAAACCGATACGTTTTTCCCCTTTGAAGGAGGGAGTTTGACGGATGGCCTCTTAAGGTGCCCATCCATAGTGGGAAATGACGTGGGAATTGAAGCCTGTTTCATCTAAATAGAATATATTTTGAAATGGCACGTTCATCATATTTAGGCAATATTCTTAGCGAATTTCCAACCCTGTGTTATAACATACAAACTCGACAAGTATTAAATGAAAGGTAATTAATTAATACTCTAAATGGGTAGGTCTAGGTCTTGAGGGGTCAAAAATTTATAAAATTTATATACAATAGGTTTGCAATGGGCAGATTTAACCTGAAAGTTTACCTGCTTAGTGTTTTAAGATTTTTTTAATCCGCTCGCCCTCCTGAGATTTTCCTTAACAAAATTTATTTATCTACCCGCCTATTTTATTTATAACATCCAAACAATTTTAATTAAACTCTTTCAGGCCTCATGATTATTTAGGCCAGGAATAACAATTAAACATTAGTTGGTAATAATCATCTAGTAAGTATTAACGGTATTCTAAACATTAGCCATGAGCGTATACAACATTAACCTGTACTAAAATTGTATCTATGAATGATTGAGAAATAATTACCTACTTATAAATTAAATTTTCTTATATATTTTTATCTTTAATCTACAAATAATATTATAATTTTTTAATTATTTTACATAAATCATATTGATTAAAAGCAAATATATTGAATATAAAACACAGTAAAAATAATTTTACATAAACATAACAAAAGATTATTCGGGCAGTTTTTTTTATTAAGAAAGGGGCAGTAATATAAATCAAAATGTGTAGTTTTTTAATTAAATGGGCAGTAGAAAGAATATTTGGTTGGTATTTTAAATTTTTGGCCAGTTAATAAATAATAAATAATTTTCTAATTTTTATATTTACTTGGGCAGTTTTCATTTTTTGCACTAACTTTTAAAATGGATTTAATGAAACTAATTAATGAATATTTTTCATATTCATTTAATTACTATGAAGAACCTAGTAATAGGAAGGATGGAAAAATAAATATCAAAGATATTGCTAGTTTAAGGAAAAGAGTTTCAAAAATTCTTAAGTTCAGGAATATCTAAATAGTAATTCCTGTGGACAAGCGTATACAATTTACAGAAGAGGGTGAGAAAAAATACTTTAGATGTAATTTAGTATAAAAAATAAAAGAGAAAATGTGCTACAATCCTTTATAATTTTAATGATGATAATGTAACATACATTTCAATATCATACTCATGAACTTATAGAAACTAAAATTCTCAAAATATCTATAAATTAGTGATAGATACTTTATTTAAAATGGGTATCAGAATGTTTATGGAAAATTTACAAAAAAATTTAATATTCTTATTCTTCTCCGTTTTATGGCGATTTCCAGATTTACACAGGTAGGCCAGTTATCCCTCTGATTTTTCTCTTCCATTTTTGACGGTCCTGAGCATCAATATTTGTAAGATTCATACTTCTCATATCCATCGCTATCACATTTGTCCACGTCATCTTGGGCCTTCCTTTAGATCTTGATTCTCCTACTTCCATTAAGGTGCATCTCATTACCCATTCATCTTTTGTCATACGTTCCACATGCCCAAACCATCGTAGTCTATTTCGTTGCATTACCACTCCAATCATTTCTATATCCAATCTTGCTCGCAATTCCTTGTTAGTTTTTCTTTATCTCAGAGATACCCCACATATCCCTCTAATCATCCTCATCTCTGTTCTTTTTAATTTGGCTTCGTGAGTCGCTTTCATTGCCCTTTCGCTGCCATAAACTAAACAACTTCTCACATAGCTGTAACTTTCCCCTTTAACTTCAGAGAGACTTTTATATTTGTTAGAATAGACGACATCTCGTTGAACTTCTTCCATGTTATCTGACCCTTGCAACAACAGCAGAATCTACACCACCATCTGCATTTAGCATATCACCCAAATAACAAAACTTATCAACTTTTCCTAAGGTTAACCCATTGCCAATATCCAGACCACCATTTTCTACGTTATCATTATTATTATGTACCCCTTATGCACGTTCTACAATTAAAGGTCATTCTTGCTAACATCAGACTTCTCTTTTCGCGCTACATCTATTATGTACACATTTCTGGTATCTGGTGCATTGGATTGAATTTCTAACAACTCCTTTCCCACATACACCACAAGGCCACCCACCACAATCATCACCTTTGTCTTTGCTGCATTCATTTTCAGGCCCTTTGCTTCCATAGCCATCTTCCATTGACTAATTTTATCCCTCAATTCCCCTCACTGTTGATGAGGAGAGAGTAACTTAGAGTTGTTTTTGAAATTTTGGAAAGGCCCGTTTCGCCTAATAATTTAATTTTTATTCACACTCACGCCGTGACCCATCGTGTCACGCGTAATATCATGGACTGTGCCAACCTCTAGTAGGAATTATCATATTAACGCTTGCAGGTTTAACCTATTCTTTAGTAAAAATTTCTCCATCTGGGTTAATATTCTTATAAAGAACCGAAATTAATTAAAAACTTTGACTACAGGGAAATTAGTTAGCATTATAATTTCCAATTAATTTAAAACATAAAAATTTTTTATTCAATTGAACAAGAAAACAACTATGCCATAGAAAGTGAAAACGAAACAATATTTCATGAATTAATCAAAATATTAACAAATTTAATGTGCATTTATTTATGATTATATTTTGTAAATATACTATACCAAATAAAGTGATATTGCCAAAATAACCTATAATTGAATTTGTTCATTTAGACTTATTTGAATATCCCAAGTTGTTGCAGATTTTGATTAATAATATCTAAAAATGGTCTAACCTTCGCTAACTTAATAGTTTTATCGATATCAAAATTGTTGACCAGATGTAAATATCATTTTATTTTTTGAAAACGATTTCTAATTTTTTTTGGGATAAAATATGAACTTACATTGTAATCTTGACTAATAATGTGTCTAAAGCTGTTTTTAAATGAGAGAATTTCATACTGGCTATAAAAAAATATACATGAAATTTACACTTTTATTTACAAATGTTTTAAAAATGGAACATAAAAATAGATTTTACTGTATCTTCGGGAAACGAGGCTAATATTTTAAAGGTTATTATGATAATGATTTGTTAAGAATATATTTCTTCAATTAAAATTTTATCTAAATAATTTTTTTAAAAGTTTTCCCAAAAAAATTTATAAGATTTGCAAATTTTAAAAGCTTAAAAATTTAACAAAACTAGTTTAAAAAAATTTTTGTCTCTATTTTTAGAAAGAAAATAAATGGCGAGGCAGGCTACACCCTTAATTTATAATTCATAAAACAAAAAATTATCGTAGCTAAAGTTAATGTTCCAAATAACAAACATTGCTGATTAATGGGTATATTATAATCCTTCTCACTTGCCAACTTTGGGCATTTTATTTATTAAACCAAACATGATTATTTTATAATTATACCTCAAAAGCTACTATATGACGAGCAACAAGCCTTGCAACTTGCTTTTGAATCACTGCAACTTAAATACGAAAAATGTCAAGAGGAAAATAACGAACTCTTAGAAAGATGGTTAAAGCAAAAATCTAGAGATATTGACCGAATCAATTTGGAAAATGAGGCACATCGAAAGTTAACTTTAATCAATGTTCATTTTTTAAAATATGTTTAATTGTTGCTGAATTTATAATTAAACGAAAGAGTATAAAAAATTTAAAAAGTTTAGTTATAACTCATGATATACTGCCCTGCATATTTAAAAAAGAATCAGTTTTTTTGCCTATTCTTTCTATTTTAAAAAGATCAGGTCAGTGTCTGTCTGATAGATTTTATTTTACAATATGGATCTGTCTACATGGCTCTATCTAAAATCTCGCCATGGCTATATCAAATAATAAACAAAATAATTTGATTAAAATAAAATGTCAGTGATATTCAGGGGTGAGAACCCAAACTCATTTTAAATCCTTCCTTTTTTAAAATTTAGGGCCTAGGGTTCAAGAATGTCTTTTATTATTAAATTTTTTTAAAATTAAAGTTCAATGTTGTTAAAAGCTACTTTTAAAAGTAGCGCGCTATCGCTACAATTTTTTTTTAAAAAGTCGCGTGCTATTGCTACCGCTATTTTTTTAAAGAAAGTAGCAAAAGCTACTTTTTACGCTACTTTAGAATTTTTTTAAAAATATTACGTATTTCCACAAATAAAAAATATTGGTATAAAAATATCACTAAAATTTCAAATATATATAATTTATTTTTTATTGAATTTTAATAATAGTAACTTTCCAATCAATCACTTTTCGGCCGACCCCCTTCGATTTCGATAAAAAGTTGTAGGCTGGTTTTATATGTTCACATTAGCTTACAAACAAAATTTTAGCGCATTAGTAACTATTAGCGGAGATAATCGGGTTTAAAGGTCCAAAAAACGTCTTTATTTGTTTTTTATGTTAAATAACTAGTTTTTAATTTAAAACAAGATCAAATATTGAATCTAATATCAATAGCTAAGTTAATAATTGATAATTACGGCGAAAACATCAAAATTAATTTTTTTAAAAATATGGGTCATCTTATGGTCAGTAGAAAATTTGAAATTAATATTTCGAAATGAATATGATCTCCAATTTTAAAATTTTTAAAAAATATTATTCGTTTATTATTTTTTTAAATAATATCTTCAAAAATTATCGTGGCTGGATATTTATTTTAAAAATTATTGCGATTTTATACTTTTAAGAAAATAGATGGCGCTATATATAATGGTTTTAATATTTTAAAATTCATTATTTTTATTGATTAAAAATATTTTAATGTAAATATATCATACTAAATCGATTACAATGTGCATTATATATATTTATTTGTAATTCATATCATTAAATTTTTAAAATCCTCACAAATTTTGCCTAATTAAGATAGTTTATAAATTAATTAAATCTTACTTCATCTAAAGGAATACAAAGCCTTAGCTTGTGAGATTTCTTCAGGAGATAATATATTTGTTCGACCGATGGGAGTAGAAATATTGACCAGCGAGAGAATTGAGATTTGTGCAACACTAAAATATCATCTTTCAGAGGAAATATAAATGAGACTGAAGTCCACAAGGGTGTAAAAATCGGATTTTTACTTCTTCATTTGTATCATTTTTATCGATTATATATCCTAACCACCATTTATCATCATACACACATGTTAATATCCATTAATATTTTTAAATATAATTTTCTCATTTAAAAATGAAACTTGTTTTCACCATTTTGGATTTTCTTGCCATGTATGATTACGTTGAATTCCTCTTGAATTTTATTTACACTCCATCTTTGAGGCAAAATTGTAAGAATTTGATATTGTTGATTTTTTGATAATTTATCAAAGTTATCCTTTAATATAATAAGAATTTCCTCTTTCACTGGACTCGGAATCACATATTTCTAAAACCTTACTCTTTATTGCTTTTTCAATCTTTTGAATTTTATTTTATATTTTTTCTCCATCAAACGTTTTCTTATAATTAGTGATTCTCCAATATTGTGTAATGTTCATTAATCGATTCAAAGGCATCCTGATTATGGGTTATTCTCAAAATTCAAAGACTTTGATCTTAGAAATTTTTTAAAAAAAGATTTTATAGAGAATGCTTAAATTCATTTGATACCCAAAATTTTATAAAGTTAATTTTTTGTTATATTTATTGCTTAAAAATTTTTTCTAAATCTTCTAAAATTTTCTTTATCTCTGTTTATTTTAATAATTTAAGATTATGACAATTCCATAAAAGAATCTTAGGCCTCCTTAATAATTTTCCTGCACTCCTTTAATCCTGCTTTTTTATTCGTGTGCTAGTCGGATTTTTTAATTATTTTTAATTTACATTGAAATATTAAAAAAATTATTAAAATATTTTATCCTGCGAATATATCAGGGGAATGAGGTTTACAAAGTTATATAACCGAATTTTATGTTATATTATACTTGAGAATATTTTTAAGCAAAAAAAATAAATTTTATCATATTAAATCTTTTATATATAGCGCCATCTATTTTTTAAAAGTATAAAATCTTAATAATTTTTAAAATAAATATCCAGCCATGTTAATTGTCGAAGATATTATTAAAAAAATAGTAAACGAATAATATTTCTTAAAAAAATTGAAAATTGGAGATCATATTCATTTTGAAATATTAATTTCAAATTTTCAACTGACCATAAGATGACCCATATTTTAAAAAAAATTAATTTTAATGTTTTCGCCATAATTATCAATTATTAACTTAGCTATTGATATTAGTTTCAATATTTGATCATATTTAGTTTTAAATTAAAAACTAGTTATTTAACATCAGTAAAAAGCAAATAAAGACGTTTTTTGGACCTTTAACCCCGATTATCTCCGCAAATATAGTTGCTAATGCGCTAATATTTTGTTTGTAATCTAGTGTGAACACATATAACCAGCCTACAACTTTTATCAAAGTTGAAAGGTGTCGGCCGATAATCTTGATTTTTTTGCTCATTTGACATGGAGTGACCCTAGCCCCATGTCTTGAGTAAATCAGAAAGTATAAGTTTTGCCATTTTAAATAATCGTTCAACACTAGCACTTGAGGGCAATATGGTATTAAATTGAATATACATATTTTTTATAAGAAAAATATCAAAAATATTTATTTGAGTATTTTTAGACTTAAAAAAATGCTCTAGGATTTTCAATAGTATTATTATTTATTAAAATTTTTTTTGATCTAGCTAGGGTCAGTCTAAAATTATAATAGTAATAGTTAAAATAAAAATCAGGTAGGGAAGGAGTAACATAAATGGCCATGTTTGCCAACTGGCCAGGCCATCACCCTTTAACATTTTATCTATTAAACATATTTCTCTCAAAATTGAAATGTGAAAGAATTGAAATAAGTAATTAGCATGTTTTGATAAAATTTATACATGTTTGACATCCAGATAATAAAGATAATGATTTATAATTATCATGTAAATAGATTTTGTGATAAAATGAGATGTTAATATTATTTATTTTATGTTTTATAATATAATTGTTGAATAATATCTTATGGCCAATTGAAACATATCATGTTTAAAATGGGCCCGAAAATCATATTTCACATAAACACATCTAGCAATTTTATTTCAAAGATTAAGGATTGGGCTACACTCATTGATAATAAATTTGTTTGATATATTACTTCTAAATGTTTCCTCAAGTTGATGCTACTAGCTTTGTTTGGTGGTAAAACCTTCCTGCACATTTTACAACGAAATTTATACCCTGTGTTAATTTTTTTATTGAAATATAAATAGAATTCAGGAAAAGAAAATTCCCATATCAGCACCTTTTTCCAGAGAAATTAATTTGTCGGAGAAAATAAGAATTTAAATTTTATTTAGCTTTTATAATTTTAAGAAAAAAAATAATTATAGATGGCGCTATCATTAAAAATAATTATAATATATATATTTTTTTTATTGGGATACTATAAATATCTTTAGAGATAGTGCCGTTTATAATTTATTTATTTCTAAATAAAAATAAAAATAAAATAGAATGTAAATTTTAGGAATGCACCTATATTTTTTATCGGATCATCTTAAAATATTGGTTATATACAATATTATAAAATTTTCCTATCGATCCTATAAAATGGCGTCTTAATTTTAAAAAATTTATTCAAATTTCATAGTAAAATTTCCATACTTGCTTTAAATTTTTGGTTAAATATCGGGTTAGCCGTTTTTAAAAATCGAGCCGTTTAACAGCACTAGATGAAAGAATATAACTTTTTTGTGAAAAATAAGGAGAGATAAAAATACCCCCGAGCAAAGGCTATTTATCCCTGGGTAAGGCTCTCTCATTTAAAAAATTGAAAAAAGTAATAAATATATATTTTAAAATTTAAATCCACCATAAAACATATAAAGAGGAACAAAATGAAATATTTTGACAGTGCTTTTAATTTTAAGGTTTGCTTTTTAGGGCTCGACAAGACCCCGGTCTCCCCTAAGTTTTAGAAAACTCACTGGAAAGGAGACTGCCGATGAAGCGTATGTAGTTAGCTCTAAGGTATCATCCTCTATCCTAAGAAGAAGCCCTCCCGATGATCACCATAGAGTATGCAGATGCGAGATAGATAAGACAAGTTTACTAAAGGGAATTAAGGTTGTGGACATAATTGGAATAAAAAGAACCAAAGAAAAGGACAAGGTCACAAGGTAAAATAGTTTTATTAAATGCAGGGTGCATTAAAGTTAAGCATAAATAAATCTATATTTTAAAGCATCTAGATATTAGAAGATATCACGATAAACTCGCTTAAATAAATTTAAAAAATATAGAATATGATTTCTTGAATTGTATTGTATTGTTTCTAATTCTAATTATGATGATAAATTATTTTTATGCTGAATACTAAATATAAAAAAATTAATTTAAAATAACGGAAATTTCTGATATTATTAATAAATTTTATTAGTCCTTATTTTTGGCAGACTAAATCTAAACCTGGTGGTTCAGGAAATTTCTTACCTAACTTATACATATATGAAAACCTTGAAGGGCTGGTCCAAACTCCAGCATTCTAGCGATTGACCCTTTATTGATATATTTTAAAATGGC